ATAAACCTTACCAGACATTGAACAATCCAGCCTATGAAAAGCAAAGACTAGAGTTAGAAATTTTGAAGATGGTGGATAAGGTGACCATGAAAAAGGGACTGAGAGGAACCATTGAAAAAGAAGACAGACTGTACATAGGCAGGCGACGAATGAACATTGAACTAACTTGAATTTTTATATCATTCGTTCTTTAAATTATTATTATCATTATCATCGTCATCGTCGTCATCATTTGAATCATTGAAGGTATTGAAGACGATGTTCGGGAATTTGCAAGTTTTTTGAGATCATACGTTGAGCTCACTGGCCAGGTTTTCATGAAATGCCGACAAAATTTGTAACAAAATAATAATAAAATTATAATTATAATAAAAATTATTATTTTATTATTAATATTATTTTATTATTCAACAGCCAACAGATGGAAGACCGTCAGATAACACGGCAGACAACATGAATTGTGTAAGTAGTGGTATAAAAAATATCTGCAGCGTAGATATGGAACTTTTGATCGATTCTTTGAACATAATTTGGTTCAAGTGCTTGAAGTTTTTATACCCATCTGGAAAACAACCATCTAGCTATCACCATTCAGCTAACCATTATAGAGGAGTTGTATATAGGATTATTAAGCTGATTGAAAATAATCCAAATCTATTTAAGGTTGGCGGGTTGTTGGCTGGTTGATTGATTTGTTAGATGGTTGGATGAGTAGATGGATGGATGTTCAGATGGAGTTGATCTATAGTTGATTGGTCGGTTTTTTGGTCAGATGATCGGTCGGCCCATTAAAATTTGTCTTTTGATTGGTCGATTTTTTGTAACATGTTTTTTGCCTTTGTGACGTCATTGTGACATCATCGTTTAGAGACAAACAACGCCTTCAATATATATAAATAATAAAATAAAAAACTATTTCACCGCAAGTGGCTAGAAACGATGATGACGATGAAAGAGATAATGATGATTATGAAGATGTACGACCACCAACCGCTGATGATGATCGAGCTGATGACGCTGCTAGGCCTATGTTACGAGAGTCTCTCTTGCTATTATCCCGAACTCTCATTTCAGTCAGGTTAGTTTTTTTTATCAATTTTGTAGAAGAAAAAAAAGTTTAAACAGAAGTTATGGGATTGTCATTCATTTCTTGTTTAAACTATCAAAGCAATAAAACTCACAAAATGAAACTGGAGATGAACTTTTCTTAAATAAAATAACTGAACAGTCACGTAAGTGAAATGAAATATAACAATGACAACGTAGTCATTCCAAGGTAACGTATTGTAAATATTGCAACAATCCTGTTGTAATTTTGATTTAATTTTGGAATGAATTTATTACACAGTCGCACGATACTTTTTCAATATATACGTTTCTAAATATCAATGTACCAATGAGATGATGTTAAATTGGATGAAAGTTAAAACTTTTTAAGAAAATACAATAGCTGGTAAAAACGTCTCATTTTCATTATCATCGTTATTAAATTATTCAACCCGTCATCGCCGTCATCATCATCATCATCATCGTCGTCGTCATCATCATCGTCGTCATCATCATTAAAACTGGACGGGATCGAAGACCCAGAGATCCGGATGACCAGCATGTCGAATGGTGTCCTTCAGATCGGACTTGCTCCATTGGAAGGGGGCCACCTGATCCCTGGTCGGCCCGCTTACTGCCAGAAACTGAAAATTCTTGAACATGGAGTAGGAAGTTATTTTGACGTCGGTGGCCCCGTGACCCCTGTGACCGAGGGCATCGAAGGGGTACTTGCCGTCCTTTGGATTCAGATCGCAGCGTGCCGCGATTGCGTTTTCGGCGCTGTAGGGAGGCGTGCAGTTGCAGGCTGACAGAGGATCGTGCGTGAAGTCGTTGTAGCGCATGAGTCTCATCATCGAGTTCATGTCCACAACTTTCGAGTGATCCCTTTTGAATATTAAAGCTCTCGGTGTTTTCTCATAAGTAAACCAATCTCCATATTTCTTCACGTTCTCTTGGCAACCGCTGGCGTTGAAAATTTCTTTGAAGTATGGCGAGTTATAACTCGGCCAGTAAGTTTGGTTCCTGAGAACGAACGTAACATCTTGACCAACAGTCAGACCTGGGATCTGTTCAACAACATACAGAAGACCATCTTTGATTTCTTTAGCACCAGGAGTGAACAACTTGTAGTTAAGAACCATCCACTGATTGTTGTAGGTACCACTGTTGTATCTGACGAACAAATCTGCCCACTCCTCACCAGTAGTTGCTAACCTGTTCGCCACCATGTTCCTGATCACTTCCAACAGACTCTCTGGTTTCACTAACTTCCACCTGTCGGCATTTGAATTACCGATTGTGGTTTCTTGTGCAACCAACCCTGAGGAGAGCAAATAAAAATCATCAACAGAGAACTGGACACCAGGGTAAGACGAGAACGAAATCACTTTCGCCGGCACCAACTGACCTCCAGTGACTGTGTGGTAACCGAAATCATACTTCTTTAGTATTCTCAACATCGTTCCATAATTACTCCACGTCGTCTGGGATATCAGGAGATCCTTGTTACCTGGCAGGAGTTTGATTAGGGCTGAGCATGTGTTTGGACCAGACAGATGATCAAATGGTTTGTAGACATTGAACTTATTACCACCCAACACTGCTTCCAGATCTGAAATGTCACCAGAGAGGAACAACATAAACAACCCTGTTACATCTGGCTTGAAAACAAATTTGGTCAGAGTATCCCTGGGTCTTTGTTCGAACTTGTAACCATCAATCAGACCGTGTAACTGCACCAGGATCAACTCTACTTGGTGCCAAAATGGATTCAAATTGGCTTCTAGAAAGATTTGATTTGCCATCCAATTGAAATTAGCTTCCATAGCATTTTGCAATTTAGCACAAAACTCATTCAGAGGTGCTTTGCAGTAGTCTTGGAAGGTGTTGTACCAGTGCAACTTGATCAGATCACTCGTCAGCAGGCCTTCAGCGAGGCCGGCCGTGTACGCCTGCTCGATGTCAGAAACTTTCTCGTTCGTCTGAATTTCCAAGTAAGCGAATCCTGTAGAGTTGATTGAATTTTTGAAGGAGGCGTGTGTGATGGCGTCTTCGTGCAAACCTTTCTTCAATTCGTACGCGTTCAGCCGTTCGTTCCAGCTGATTGACAGCTCCACAGTTCCGTGAACTTGAACGACAACGGCGCAAACAATCAGGAGTGTCGTAATGAGTAACACTTTCAGTTTTGAAACGTTCATTTTTTTAAATTATTTTTTTATTTAAACAATAATAAATTTAAAATGAGGCGATAAATTAGTTTTGAGAAACAATGATCTTCGCACAGCTGATTTACCCTATCATATGATTTTGTTTAGTCCTCGCTTAATTTTTAAACAGGGATGTGCGTATCGAGCAAATAAAAAATTAACCCTTCGCAACAACGGTTTGAAGATAATGCTTTTTTGAATATAGTTTCGACTCTTAGCAATTCATTTGTGAAACTAAACGACAATATTGAACTATTATCTTAGTTTCCATCGATGATGTAGCGTAATAAACAATAATTTTAGTGAAATTCATCGAAAAGCATTAAACACATACAGTACTTTACATTATCATTACATTAAAACATGATTTTATCATACAAATTCAGTTAATTGCCATAAAATACACTTATAAAGTAGTATAAATAACATAAATAATAATAATATTTTACTCAAACCCAAAAGATATCGTCCACAACTTTAATGACCTGACAAAAAACTCCAAAGACTACCTTTCGATTTCGTTGGACATTTTCAACGAGGCCCTAAGGGCAATAACTCGGGCCAGGCATGCTTTCATCAAACACTGTAACTGCTGTAGTAGTAGTTCATTTGGTGGTAGCAGTTGCTGTGGTAGCTGTGGGTACTGTTCTGGCTACTACTGCAGGTACGATAGTAAAGCTGAAAGTGGTTGTCGTAGTTGTGGCTGTAGTAATTGTAGTTGTGGTAGTTGTAGTAGAGGTTCTGGTAACGATAGCGTCGGCTGTGGTAGTTGTGGCTGTGGCAGCTGTGGTGGTGGAGAAAATAAAAAGAGGTGTTTGTATGAAGATGGATATCTAGTTGCTGATGTGGCTTGGATCCAGGTTGGCGATTGTTTTTATAATCATAAGGAAAATAATAAAAACAAAAATAATAATAACAATAATAATAATAATGAAGGTTATAACAGAGTTGTTAATAATTTCACCACTTTAACATTTACAACATTCGTCACCATCAAAGGATTTATACCCACGTAAATTCCAACAAAACGAGACTGACCATCAAAAAAAATATAAAAATCTTCCTGAGAGGCGAGCAAACCAAACGACAACAACAACAAGCGACAACAACAGCAGCAGCAGCTTAAAAATCATCAATCCGGATAGATGTTCGACAAAAAGTGACGTCACTCAAGTTAACAACGTCATCCATTCGTTGATGGTGCATCTAAGGGACCTGCATACGATCGTCCGATGGCATCAAATAAGAGTTCATTTGAAGTACTCACATTTCTCCGATCCAGACAACAGTTAGTTTATTGTTATTATTACCTTTATTATTGTTGTAGTAGTTGTTTATGTTGTTGCTGCTACTACTGTGACTACTTTTATTAGGATTCTTCTTCTTTTTATTATTATTATTATTATTTTGGTTTTTTTTCATTTTACAGCCTGCAAAACAAAAAAACTGCCAAAGGTCAGTTTATTATTGTATTAAAACAACTATCTATATTATAGATTCTATAATTTACTGGTCTTTATAGTCTTCTCCTAGATTTCGTATTTAATATTTTAATCAATCAATCAACCAATCAGTTGACCAATTAATTTGCATTTATAGAGCGCAATTTTTGAAAATTCAATTGTGCTATCTCACTCTCTCTCTCTCTCTCTCTCTCTCTCACTCTCTTTCTCTCCTTCTTTCTCTCTCTTTTCCTCTCTTTCTAAACTTGCAAAACAAATAAATGAAAATAATAGAAATCATGACAAAAATGAAAAAAGTAAATAAAGATAATTGTAATTATTTTATTAACTATAATTTTTAGGGTGATGTTGCTAATGATGCAGCAGCAGCCACAACTACACGTAATAAATTGTTACTGGCTTTGGAGTGCTCCATTAAGGCTACACTGATGTCGTTTGTCGACGCTGATATGTCCTGCCAACGTTTAAATTTGTTGCAAGTTTGTAGTAGTAGTAGCAGCTTCAGCAGCAGCAGTGGTAGTAGTAGTAGTAGTAGTAGTAGTAGTAGTAGTAGTAGTAGTAGTAGTAGAAGTAGTAGTAGTAGTAGTAATAGTAGTAGTAGTAGTAGTAGTAGTAGTAGTAGTAGTAGTAGTAGTGATAGTAGCAGTAGTAGTAGTAGTTGCTGATGTTTTTGTTGTTGAAGTTTGTGGACAAAAAATCCCTTCAGAAATCCTCCACATTACTGCAGCAGCACACATCAGAAGAAACAAAACTATACAGTTTCTCTAGCTTCAGTCACATCCTGAACACCCCCCAACAAATAAGTGGTACCGTCCCGGATCCACCAATTCTCGTGCACAGGACTGATGACGTCATGTGTTTTAGGCCTGGAATGTTCTGCCCTGCTGGGGGAGTCCAGGTCGAAATTTTCCGGAAATATTTTTTCGCTATGTTGACGCAAATGTTAAAGAAACGCAACGATGACGTCATTTACAGGTGGCGTACTACAAACTGTTCGGATGTTTAGTGACATCTATAAAGAAATCCGCCGGTATTATTGATGACAAGATCGAAGGCTGTGGTATCCCCGTTAGACATTTTTTGTATTTACTGTCTTATTTATTTTTGTTAATTTGATTTTTTCATATTTTTATAAAATAGCCAAGCTAAAAATTTGGAAAAATCATTCATTCATAGGTTTCAGCTTTGTTTCCGCTGCTACGAGTTACAGGATTGGTTGCCGGTGAAAAGTATTCTTTTGCCATCGGTGCTTACAATAATGCGGGAGAGCTGATTGGTGGGAAAATATCAAAACCGACCAATCATATTGTAGCTTCATATCCGCTATCGACATTGATTGGTTGGACGCTTTTGTGCAAAGTTTGTGAATAATAACTGAAATTTGTTTTTTGATTTATATATCAATATATCTGTTTATACGTTCATCTGTACAATGAAATATTATCTTTCATTTATCTTTCATTTATTCATTTATTCATTCGTTCGTTCGTTCGTTCGTTCGTTCATTCATTCATTCATTCATTCACCTCCAGGCCTCGTACGATCTCCAATGCTATCCGACTTTAATGCAATCCGGCCAACATTTGTGGAGACATTTTGTATTGAGGTGATTATCGTCGTCTTCATCATCATCATTTTCATCATCATCATCATCATCATCGCCTTCATCATCATCATCACTATCACTATCATCATCATAATCATTGTCGTCCTCTTCATATCATTTCGTTCTTCTTCTTCTTCTTCTTCTTCTTCTTTTCTTCTTCTTTTTCTTCTTCTTGTTATTATCATTATTATTATTATCATCATTATTATCTCTTTATTATTATTTTGTCTATTGTTGTTGTTATTATTATTATTGTTATTTATAAGACATCCGTCTGATGCCGGTTCTTCAGTCGACATAAACAAAGAAGAACAGTACCATCTGTCCAAGAGCAGGTAGGTTGTTATTGATTTATCGAAGGTTAAAGTTCAAAGGTCATTCATTCTCTCACGCACAGACAGACACGCACGCGCACACACAAGACCACGCATATATTTTTTTATTATTATTATTGATTTATTAATATTATTATTATTCTGTCAGGTTAAATAAAAGTTTGCTGGCTGAAAGTAGTCCAGAACTGAAGAAGATGCTGTTGTACTGCATGCTTGCTGCCTTCCACGGCTCCAAAGTAGGTACTGAGTGAAAATGGCAAGAAAATAAAAAATAAATTATTCATTTATACGTGTATTTATTTGTCTATTTGTTTAATCATTCATTTGTTTATTCATTTATTTATTTATTTATTTCGTGAAATTTTGAAAGATGCTACTGGGACTGAATAGAGACAAACTGACTGAACAAATGCCTAATCGGAAAGTATTAGTAAGTCTCTACTATCTTCAATACGTCGTCATCGTTGTCATCTTTTCTCTCTCTCTCTTTCTCTCTTTTTTCTCTCTTGCTTTTTCTCTTTCTCTTGCTTTCTCTCTCTCTCCTCTCTCCTTTCTTTCTCTCTCTTTCTTTATTTGTCTCTTTCTTTCTTTCTGGTCTATCTATTTATTCCCAACAAAAACCAAAGATACAGAAATTGGAGTTATGCGAGCAGACGTTGGCGATGATGGAGCTGTCGAAAAGCGTCCACAGCAGCCACAACGTCAACATAGATAAATCAAAGTGTCGCTTGCAGTCTGTCGTCGAGTGTTACAATGTGCTGAAGTATTTTTTGTTCTATGGCCTCTTCACTAGGCCTGTTGTCTGCGTTAGTTTATTTCCTTGCATACACGCACACATACACACTCACACACACATACACACTCACACACTCACACCCACATACACACTCACACACTCACACACACATACGCACACACTCACACACATACACGCACACACTTACACACACATAAATATACATACACACACACACACATACACACATTCACACACCTAATGTTTGCTTTAGTTGACATACATACATACATACATACATACAAACATACATATACACACGCTCACACACTCACACAAACAAACAAACAAACAACAGCTCATGAAAAGTTGTATGTCATCACTGACCAAGATCCCAAGTACCACAAGGTGCCATTGGGGTGCCCATACGGCCCAAATATTTGGTCATATGATTTCCTGTTTATCTTTCTACTTGGCTAAAGTTTGTAATTAATTTTTATTTGTTTTAATGTTGTTCTCTCTCTCTCTCTCTCTCTCTCTCTCTCTCTCTCTCTCTCTCTCTCTCTCTTTCTTTCTGTATTTGTTCATCATCTTTTCAGATCCACCGAAGCATCAATGATCTAGATGCAGCCTCTCACTTTATAAAACTGCCGGAAGAATTGTTGTCACGTGATTATACTCCTCCCGATGACGATGATGATGACGTCAACGATGCGGATGATAACGATGATGATGATGTTAAATATAATTATAAGAAATTGAAAATCAATTGTAGTGTGAATAATGAGAATAATAGTTCGGTTAAGACCGTTAAGAGTACAAAGTTGAACAAAGTATTGGCTGAGGGTTAGTGGTTTTTGTTGTTTTGTAATTGCGTGCTTTGAACGTTTACATGATTTGCTTATTAGTTGAGTGGATGGTCGGTTGGCTGATTGGTTGGCTGGCTGGCTGTTTAAAAGATATTGTTGGGTGACAACGACAACAGAATATTCAACAACAAAAAAACCCACAAAAACCACGAACAACTACATAAAAAACAACACACACAACACCATAAACAAAAGCAGACGTGGAAAAACCCAGCGTTATCCTAGCTACAATATCAAAACTGTCATCTAAAGAGACCTACCAAGAGATAACGAAACTGAAACCGAAACACCCGCAGAAATTTCTGGAATTTTTGATAACCACAGTCGGAATGAAAGCTCTGAAAGAAAGAGAGAATGAATTACTTGCACAGTGGATGAATGAAGCGAATTCGCTTTTTGTTAAGTAAGGTTTTCAATTGCTCAACATGCTTTTAAATTATGCCATTTACCTTTTTATTCATTCTATTATCCATTCAAAGTCATTCCATCCATATATCTAACAATCTATCCGTTCATTCGTTCATTCATTCATTCATTCATTCATTCATTCGTTCGTTCGTTCGTTCATTCATTCATTCATTCATTTAAAAAAAGCCTAAGAAAGCCAGCCACTCATCAGATGGATAACATGGCCAGTCCAAAAAAGAAACCATTGAGAGCACTTAAATCAAACGCTTCCTTAAAGGCTAAAAATAAAAAAGATCCTAACTCAAATCATGACTTTGATAACGATGACGTCATAATGGTGATGAAAGATGGTGAAGAGGGTAATGAGGGCGGGGGTGTAATCTACTGTCCACCGGATGTTGGTGGATTTGTTTTCCTACAATAATTTAATCAATTAATTTATGAATTAATTATAATTTATTCATTCATCTATCCATTCTTCCATCCATTTATTTATTAATTCAATCATTCATCCGTCCAATCATTCATCCATTCATTCATCCATCCATCCATCCATCCATTCATTCATTCATTCATTCATTAGCCGAGCATGGCAAACATGAAAAAGAAAGACAAAATAGTCGTTCCCCGTCTGAAAGTAAGTAAAAATCATTTCATCTCTCCATCTTTTTTTCGTTCAACACGATAATTTATATACACTTATCATTATTATCATCATCATTATTATTATTATAATTATTATTAATATTAATTATATTATTATTATTATTATTATTAACTTTCTTCCTACCATACCACTCATCCGTCAAATTATTCCAGGATAGCCTACTACTGAACGAGGCAATGTCGAAGGATAAATTGAAGAAGGTCTTTGTTGCTATCACCTTTCGTAATAACAAGAACAACAACAATAATAATAATAATAATAAATTATAATAATAATAATAAATTATAATAATAATAATAAATTATAATAATAATAAATTATAATAATAATAATAATGAGAACAAACTTTTATTTTATTTTTAAAACATACACTGTAATTGTTATAAAGTTAAAGTAATAAAACTTATAATGTAAGTTTTATAGATAAATCTACGATGCTCGCCATACATTTTAAATGGGCACAAAGAGAAATAGAATCAGCATTAAATTACGTTTAAATCGTGTTATTATTATTATTATAATAATAATAATGGTAATAATAATAATAATAATGTTTCATTTGTATAGCGCAATAATGTTATTTTCTAGAGCAAAAATAATCGGTAAATGGATTTGAAATGAATTCATTTCATTGTTATTATGGATTAATTATTTGTTATTATTATTATTTGTTATTATTATTATTATTATATTTGTTATTATTGTTATTATTTAATAGCTTGCTGATGTTTTGTCTTCGAAATTCGTGCCACTCTACAAAGATGTGAAGAGGAGGAGGAAGTATAGGGAGGGAATGCTACGACAGATGAAACTGAGAAGTGTCGTTAGTGTTGTTATTGATGTTGTTGTTGTTGATGTTGTTGTTGTTGTTGGTGTTGATGGTGTTGTTGTTGGTGGTGGTGGTGTAGTTGTTGTTAATTTTGTTGTTGTTTTTTCAACAATGAAAATATCAACAACAACAATGAAAACAACAACAACAACAACATCAACAATGAAAACATCATCAACAACAACAACAACAACAAGGAAAACATCATCAACATCAACAACATCAACATTGAAAACATCAACAACAACAACAACAACAACAGATGAATATGATCCAAGGGCTTTCAAGTTTCAACGTCATAGTCGACAAAACAAAACTTAACATAAAAGAACTCGATTATCGCCAACTCAAGTTATTTTTATCTGCGTTTATTATCATCATTTTCATCATCACCACTATCATTATCATCATCATCACTATCAATATCATCATCATCATCATCTACGACATCATTATCAGCAAGTTACACATGTATAAAGACCATTGTACATTACACCATTCTTCCGTCATCTTCCCGCCACTCAATTTTGTGACTACATCGACATTTCCGGATTCGTCGTCACGTGATCAAATTAAATCTCCGTGTAGTGGTTTGTTGCTGTTTTCTGTTTTGTTTTTTTTATGTATTTCTTTATTTCTTCGTATGTATTTGTTTGTTTCCTTGTATGTGTTTGTTTGTTTCCTTGTTTTGTGTATCTTTTTTTATAAGTTGTATTTAATATTCCAATAAACTTCAGGAGAAAATTTAACAGCGCGCCAAAAACCAAAACAACAACAACAGCAAAGACATCAAAAAACAAAGAAATCATTAAAAAGTAACAAAAGCGCTAGATCAGTTAAAAGTGATGATAGTGGTGATGATAAAGATGGTAATGGTCGCGATGATGATGATGGTGGTGGTGGTGATCCGGCTGTCTCACTTGGAAATATGATCAGACGATGCTTGCAATACTTTGTTAGATCTATTGTTAGTGTTGTTGTCGTTGTTGTTGTTGTTGTTGTTGTCGTTGTTGATGTTGTTGTTGTTGTCATCGTTGTTGATGTTGTTGTTGTTATTGATGTTGTTGATGTTGTTGTTATTGCTGTTGCTGATGTTATTGTTGTATTGGAATTAAACAAGAAAAATGCAAACGCAAATAAACAAATCCCAGCAAACAAACAAACAAACAAACTTTCTTTTCTCTTTCTCTCTTTCCCTCTTCATTTCTTTCTTTTTCGTTTTTTCTCTCTAACCATCATCACCACCACGCCATCGTCATCAACAAACAAACAAACAAACAAACAAGCAAACAAACAAGCAAACAAACAAACAATGCCAAACAAAAACAAACAAAAACAAACAAAAACAAACAAACACAGACTCTTGCCCATAGGTGCCACGAATGGACACAGCTTCAAAACTCCAGCATCCACCTCTACAACGTGGTGTCCTATCTCACAGATGCTGCTTCCGTTAATGAAAGTTTATGTTCTTATCTTATACAAACAAACAAACATACATACATACATACATACATACATACATACATACATACATACATACATACATACATACATACATACATACATACATGCATGCATGCATGCATACATACATACATACATACATACATACATACATACATACATACATACATACATGCATGCATACATACATACATACATACATACATACATACATGTATTGATAATCATATACATTCAAAAATACACTAATACATACAATAACACACACGTACGTACATAAATAAACGTTTAGATACTTTTATATGTTTTTTTCTTGAACACTCCCTCGTCATCAACACTCCCTCGTCATTCTCATCATCACATTATCACGTGATCATAATCAAGATGTATCAGCCAATAGGATATTATGTCTGGTACACAGGCCCATGTATCATGCGGCTGATCTACTCCTGGACATGATCAAAATACTTCTAAAAAACGAAGTCTAACTTTTAATATTTTTTCAAATTTTCATTGTAATTGTATATTTTGTTATTATTATTGTTATTATTATTATTATTGTTGTTGTTGTTATTATTATTTCTATTTTTAGAATTGCTCAAGCCCTCTTTACCATTGGCTAGACGCCTTGACGACGTGTAACAACAACGACGGCCATTATAATAGGGATGTGTCAAACGATAGGGATGTGCGAAGTAAAAGAGATGGGCGATATAAAGCTGACGTGCAGAAAGAAAGGGACGGTCAAAAAGAGAGAGATGTGCAAAATAATATGGATGTGCGATCCCTACTCAACTATCCGTTTGACGATACGTCGGTAATTAACGGTCGGTTTTTGGTGCAGTGCTGTATGATGGCCCTGCAAGTGATGTGCCAGGTAGAGGCTTGGGAAGAACTTGTAGACCTCGCTCTGCGTTTCAACTTTTTTACCAAGTTGGAAATTTTCCTGTTTCTGTAGTTTCGTTTCTGAAGTTTTGTTGTTTTTTTTCACTCTGATGAGTTTTGTTTAGCGTTTACTTAGTTGTGAATATTTGAATTATTTTTAACATCTCGAAAATCTTGGTGCTCATCGTGTGGACACTCTCTTATTTCAACATGAAATAGATCGTACATTAATCAAGTCTGTTGCCTAATCGCTCGCATATTTTGAAATTATTTAATTATTTTTTTACCGCAATACTTTTTCCCACCCCCCTCCAGCCATCGCTACAGTGACGTCATCGGCCCCCTAGCGGTGCACGCCCAGGCCCGACTAATCAAAAGAATCGAAAGTTTTGGGGGTGTCGGGTACTGCCAGCCGCAGTGGGAAGCGGTCAAAGTTCAAATTGGTAGTCCAGTCGTTACCTGCGCACATTACGTCAATCTGCAACTTCGAGTCCATTGCTACCCGAACAAGATTTCAGGTTTTGTGTGTGTTTGTATGTGTGTGTGCGTGTATGTATGTGTGTGTGCGTGTGTGATTTCATACAACATGCAAGCAAGACGAACATACACACACACACACACACACAAACAAACAAAACATTCAATTAGAATACAGATCATTGCAGCTGTCATCTGTTCCAATTGACGTTGAATGCACAATTGAGGAATTTTCACGTTACATCAGCCATCTCCTCCCTCAACCAATCAAATTCTTCAATCATGCCAGAAAACTCGCTTCATCTTATATGTACAACCTCATCATTGGTTCGTAGTTTTGTTTCCGATCTTTGATTGGTCCATTTGAAATTGAGAATTTTTTTTAATTGGTGGAATGGCCGGCTGGTTGTTCATAATTGGCTAAGTTGTGATTGATTGGCTGGTTTATTGACTTTGATTGCGGATTTGGTTGATTGAATGTTTAGTGATTTATGATTGGATGGTTGATCACTGCATTGTATATATTTTATTGATTCGTTTAATACTTTGATTTGCAATAGGTTGAAAAGTCTTAAACAAATTTTTGGCAAATTTTTCAAAACTGTGAAAAAATCAAATTTATCGTAATTAAAATTTTGGACGATCATACAGATAACATTCAATCACCGGTCTCCAATGAAATTAAGCCCCACCCATTCGATGATAATGATGTCCGAACGTACCTCGTAACTCCGCCCTTTCACTTGTCAATCATGACGACGAATAAATTGAATGTCGTACTGCAAGCTTACAATCACTCAATACGTAATTTTTTGAAATTATTATAAAAAAATTATATTTAATTTTATTATAGAAATAATAATAATAATTTAATGATTGTAATGATAATAATTGTGAAATTAATTGAATCATTTTATTTAATTAAAATTTTCAGAGGTATTTGAAAAAGATTCGGAATGGTGTGACAGCGCGTTGTCAAGTTTATTATGGTTGGAATGTGCTGACTGGAATTTCCATGCCAAAAATAAGAAGTTTGTTGATGGATTAACTGATTGATTGATTGATTGATTGATTGGTTGGTTGGTTGGTTGATTGATTGATTGGTTGGTTGGTTGGTTGATCGATTGGTTGGTTGGTTGGTTGGTTGGTTGGTTGGTTGGTTGATTGATTGATTGATTGATTGATTGATTGATTGATTGATTGATTGATTGATTGATTGATTGATTGATTGATTGATTGATTGATTGATTGATTGATTGATTGATTGATTGATTGATTGATTGATTGATTGATTGATTGATTGATTGATTGATTGATTGATTGATTGATTGATTGATTGATTGATTGATTGATTGATTGATTGATTGATTGATTGATTGATTGATTGATTGATTGATTGATTGATTGATTGATTGATTGATTGATTGATTGATTGATTGATTGATTGATTGATTGATTGATTGATTGATTGATTGATTGATTGATTGATTGATTGATTGATTGGTTAGTTCGTGGTGATTTAGTTAGTGTACTGATTGGATGATTGGTTGGTTGGTTGGTTGATTGATTGATTAACTGGCCAATCGGTTATGCAATGAAATTCTGACTGAAGATGATGAAGATAATAATGTTGCTGATAAAAGTGATGACGACGACGATGAAGATAAAGATGAAAATGATAATGAAGACGACGATGGAGATAACAAAGAAATAAATAAACATTTTCCTCCGTAATAGGAGAGCTCAAAAGATTTGGTCAGAATGTGTGGACAGAGCACTTGGCTTGAAAGATGTCATCAGTAATTGGGAAGAATGTTTGTTGAAAAGCATTCGTAATGTTGATCAACAATGTTCTGACAACAATAACAACAGCAGCAGCAGCAACAACAGCAACTACGATTATGCCACGTTTGCAGACAACAAAGTAGACAACAGTAGCAACAACGATATAAACATTTCAAACAACAACACAACTACCACTCCCAACAACAACAACAACAACTCAATATACTACATAGATCTTGATGTAGGCACGTACATTCTTGACAGATGTGGTCCCTGGAGATCTATCATTGCCGCTAGTGCTGTGACTAACCTAGCGAGGTGAGCATACACAAAATTTTCTGGCCCAATGGTTAAAGATCTTGGCACTGGTGTTGCAGTGGCGGGTTTCGAATGCATAATGATCCCCGCTTATCATATACATTGAGTGGGATGGCTGTATGGATTTGCCTGCATTTGCATACAAACAAGCGTTTTAGTTGCTGATATTGTTATCATTGTTAATAGTAGTAGAATTAGTAGTAGCAGCAGCGGCAGCAGTAGTAATAGTAGTAGTAGTAGTTGTTATTGTAGTAGTAGTAGTGGTAGTAGTAGTAGTAGTATTTCATTTTTTCGACCAGGTATATATATCGCCAAGATGCTGACATGCAAGTTAGATGCTGCCTGTTGGCTTGTCACCTCTACAAGGTAATGTTGGTTGAATTTTAGAGTTTTTATATAATTGTTTTATTTATTTATATAATGACATTTAGTGATTTATCGTTATTATTATTACTAACAAACGAACGAACAAACAACAGCAACACAAACAAACAGCAACAACGACACAAACAAACAGCAACACAAACAAACAGCAACAACAACACAAACACACGAACAACGACAACACAAACACACGAAGGCTTTGCTGAGAGCCTCCCTACTAAACCCAATAAAAGATATCGATTATGCGCTATATGATTTGTGTCAAAATGTAAACAACAAAAACATCTACGTCATTCCCGGAGCATCCCTTTTCAGTGATGGGTGATGTCATATTTGTATAGTTGTGAAAATGTCACGTGGTGTTATTGTTTTTGTTTGTGTTTGTCATGTGACATTGTTGTTATTATTTTTTTTTATTAATGACGTTTTTGGCCAAAATTAATGTCGTTATTTTAGATATTTTTGTACGCATATAATGGTATAATGAGTTTTTCGGACAGGCTGTATTCGAACCATGCTACCGCGTAATAGCAAAGCTAGACATGGCACTCCTACCGACTGAGCTAACTCGGTGAACCATTTTGAAATTTGTATCCACTTTTTTCTATCAATCCGACTGTAGATTTTTCTGTGATCTGAGACGCATGACGAGGAACGTCTCCTACCTTACGAGGACTTTAAACGCCTCGCATCACTATCGCCAGGTCACTCATTCTTTCATGTAAACATGCCTGGAGACACATACTTACAAACACACTCATACAAATACACATATACATACATACATACATACATTCATACATACATACACACACATACAAATACACATATACATACATACATACATTCATATATATATACACATACATACACACACATACATATATACATACATACATACATACATACATACATACATACATACATACATACATACATACATACATACAAACACATAAATACAAATAAACACACACACACATACATATACATATATGCGTACATACATATACACACATACAGGTCCTTCCTCTTTACAGCCTTCAGCATTACCTCGCTAACCATACAAATCATTGCAGTCAGACCACGTTCAACAACGTCATCAACAGAATTCAACAACTCGTCAACATGAATTTCATCCCGGAAGCATTTCACTATTTAGTGTCTTTGTTACTAGTGAAATCGTATATTAATCTCCCATTTGACGGAAATTGCGATCCGGATCCGGAATTTGAAGGGATGGGCTGTTTTGCAGATGCATGTGGGGGCGGTAATGTTGGAACAGAAAGAAGTGATTGTGAAAATGATAATTTTAACGCGAATTATAAAATCCAACGTAGCGGGAATTTTGCCGGAAGTAAGGATGCTCTAAAGAATATTACCAGAACATCGAATTCTTCCGTGACGTTTACATTTGATGGTAGCAAATATTTGACCGATGACGTCAACGTCCAGGTTGGTTTGTGGTTGAATCACGTGATGAGAATTCATCTTTGTTGTCCTTAGTGTTGTTATTATTATGATGACATCATCGGCGCCAACATTAACAATAACAACAACAACAACATATTGCATCATAGATAACATTAATGACAACCAGCCTCATTGTATATACATCTTCATAACTGGAGTATTATCATCAGATCACCAAGAACAACAACAAAAAAATCAACAACAACAATAACATCAACAACAACAACAACAACATCATATTACATCATAGATAACATTAATGACAACCAGCCCCATTGTATAAACATCTTCATAACTTGAGTATTATCATCAGATCATCAACAACAAAAACAACATCAACAACATCAACAACAACAACAGTGCCTGCAACATCTCATGCAGTGCAAACAACTCCCGCCTTTGTTACTGTCGTCAGATGAACAAACCAGGCTCATGACTGGTGTGCTGGATTTGTTGAAATCTCATTTGTTCCTGCATCTGGCGTCGTACATTCAATATGGAGTCCCCCGTTATAATAATGAGGATGATGATATTAAGTAATTTGTGTGTGTGTGTGTGTGTGTTTGTTCGTTCATTCAATTATTTAATTGTTTATTCTATCCCTCATTCATTCATTCGTTCGTTCGTTCGTTCATTCATTCGTTCATTCATTCATTCATTTATTATTCATTCACTCGTTTACTAGGTGGTTGTTCTAATTAAAAGCTGTTGTTGAGTTGCTGGGAAAAAACTATTTCTAAATCGTCCTTAATTTCATCATTACTATTATTATTATTGTTATTATTATTATTACTATTATTGTGATTGTTGTTATTATTATTATTTGTTGTTATTATTTGTTGTTGTTATCATTGTAGTGTTTGTGATGTTACCAGAAAGACAAATTTATCCCTAACGCAGTTTGGTACATTTCGGCCAGGCGAGCGAAGGGCTGTGCGTCGTTGACAAAAAAAGTCTGTTGATTTATTTTGTTGTTGGTGGTGGCGATATTGCAGTTGTACAATTATTATTATTATTATTATTATTATTATTATTATTATTATTATTATTATTAGCAGCAGCAGCAGCTACAGCAGCAAAAATAGTAGTAGCAGCAGCAGCAGGCAGCAGCAGTAGTAGTAATAGTAGTAGTAGTAGTAGTAGTTGTAGTAAGTAGTAGTAGTAGTAGTTGTTGTTGTAGTAGTAAGTAGTAGTAGTTGTAGTAAGTAGTAGTAGTAGTAGTTGTTGTAGTAAGTCGTAGTAGTAGTAGTAATAGTAGTAGTAGTAGTAGTAAGTAGTAGTAGTAGTAAGTAGTATTATAAGTTTATTGTTATTTTGTCGCCATGGTTATCTTTATTTCTGCTCGCTAATAAATTTTTTCAGAAAATTTTTTCAGAAAGGATTATTATTACAAACAGAATCAGTAGCCAGTGAAAAGAAAACTGAACTAAAGCAAGCAAAAGCAGCAGCAGCTACAACAGCAGCAGCAGCTACAACAGCAGCAGCAGCTACCACAACAGCGGCAACGTCAGAAAAATCATCAGCTGATTTAAAGATCGCCTTATTGAATAAAGCCGAAACGCTCTTGTTGGATGTGGAAAATAAGAGTTTTGGTTGGTTGGTTGGTTGGTTGGTTGGTTGGTTGGTTGATTAGTTGGTCGATTGATTGGTTGGGTCACCAGTAATTTCATTCATAAATCGATTCATAAACATTTGACACATTTTGTCATATACAGAGCAACAATTACGTCCCCAATCATCTTCCCAATTTAAAAACTACATCAAAGCCAAATTCGGCCTCGCCCTCTTGTTCATGAAAAAACAAGAAAGCCGATTGGCTGCCCTCATCTTGGTGCAGGTGATGCTGAAGGTCAAGGAGAAATTGTGAGTACGATGAAGATGGTAATGATGATGATGGTGACGACGACGACGATGATGATGGAGATGGTGATGATGATGATGATGGCGATGATAAAGGTGACATTATTCGTTCATTCGTTCATTCACCGATTCATTCATTCATGCAATATTCAGGAGAGCATCTTGCTTGAGAACAACACGCAAGGCCAGTAATGACATCAACAACAATTCGAAACATGTTGATGCTGATGACGACGATGACGTGGAATATTTAAATGGTAGATTCTGGCTGAAAAGTCTCACCTTATTGGTCGACTGCCTGATACAGGAAGTTCGAACTTGCACATCATTGGACGGTGAGTTATGATGATGACGACGATGACGATGATGATGTTGTTGATGTTGATGATGATGATGATGTTGATGATGATGACGACGATGATGATGATGGCTATTGCTAATAATGGTGACGATGTTGATGATGATGATGTTGATCGCGATTACTTTGTTGTCTACAGTTTTGTATTTTCAATAATGACGATGATAAAGACGACGACGATGATAGGAAAGATGATAATGATGGTTGTAATGATGATAAGTATGAAAAGTTTGATTGAAATAATTCAAATTTCTAAAAAAAAAACAGTTTCTTTATTGCAACAACAACACCAACAACCGCAACAACAACCACAACAACAACCACAACAACAACCACAACAACAACAACAACAACAAATCTATAACATGCTCGAAAGCCCCCATATATACTGCCAGCAAGGGCTGGTTATAGCCGAGCAGACGAAAAACACAGAAATGCAGGCTGGTTTTTGAAAAAAATTCCCAGTTAAAATTTTTTTTTAATTTCAATATTTTTTATTTTTAAAAATAATTATAACTATATAATAATTATTAACTAATTTTATTATATTTTTGGTTATTGCCATTAATTTATTATCATATATGCAACAACTAGACAAGGAGCCATTATACAATCTGCTTGTTCTCTCTCATTTTCTCTCTTTCTCTCTCTCTCCCTCTTTCTCTCTCTCTCTTTTTTTCTTGTATATATATATATATGTATGTATGCATGTATATATATATATATATATATATATATATATATATTTTTTTTTACAACATTCTATTACCCATATATATATATATATATATATATATAATATATATGATAATTAAATA